TTTTCGGATGAAGCTCTCGCCGGCAAACCTGTAGATAGGCTCGCTACTACAAATGGCGCTGATTTCTTTGCAAAATTCAAGGTTCAGGTAGGCGGACCTAAGGTGATAACACCATAATGCCCGTGACCCTACAGGTTCTACCGGAGATGGTGATTAAACCGGCGATGAATTTACCGTGGTGACGTCGGCGAGCCCTTTGATGGGCTTTCTACCGCAACTTACTGATCTCGTCACTAAACACCACAAATCATGATGCGTTCCAAGAAGTGAGCACCGAACACTAGGCTCATGTCCACACAATCACCACTCAAAAACCCAAAATCCCTCCCTCTTCATCTCTCTCTCTCTCTCTATCTCACACAAAGAAGATCTCTTGATTTGTTTCTCAAAGATTTCACTTTTGCCTTTTGCTTTCTTATTGTTTATCTTCTGTCAATGCTTAAAAATTTCAAAAATTTGACTGAAATTAAAATTATGTGAATTTGGCCATAATGGTTCACTATCATTTGGTGGTTTCGCTTGACAAGCTTTTGGGATAGGAGCTTCGGAGTCGTCAAAGCCAGAGTCTGAATCTGTGGTCATCAATGGAGAAGGGAAATTAGCGAACAAATGCCGTTGGGAAGCGGTTGGAGGGGAAGGCTTTCATCATGAGTCCAGAGGCGCCGGTGGTGCAGACTATTCTCATTCAATTTCAAAAATACGATTTTTTTATTTTTTAAATAAAAGGAAATATTATAAGGGTAATTTAGTCATTTCACATACCCTTAACGGCCAATTGACAAAGTTGGCTAAAATAATAACGTTGTTATATTGTTGGTGGTTTTAAAAACTGGTTGAGATTTTATGATCACTTATTGATAGTTTTGGGGGTTTTACGAAATTTGTCCTAAATTAAGATTATAGCTTGACTGATTAGCAACTTTGATGATAATAAAGTAATGTGTTGTAATGTGAATCTGTAATTTGCATTATTACTCCCAAACTAAGACTACAGTGAGATCAGATTGTGCAGTGTATATATTTGTAATATAGACTCACTCCATTACATAATATGTTTTTAATTTTATCCCACAAGGTCTCGTATTAATGGGAGATAACGCCACTATATAGAAGCACTTCACTTTGTTTTTTTACCCAAACAATATGAGATTATGTACTTATAACTCCTCTAATGTAATAATTTGTCAATGCATCACACCCGCTCAAAACACACCCCCCTACAAATCACCACAATTCCGTTTGCAAGGACCGCTCATCGTTTGGAACCCAACATCATTGTTGGCTACAATTCCGTTTGGTGAGACTTCAAAAATATTTGCAAGGACCACTCATACACACTTTGTTAAAGAGAATTAAGGTGCTTTATGTTAATGTTTGTGTCTGTCCAATCACCCTTAGATATTTGATCTGTTTTTTTACATCAGTTTGATAGTACGAGAGGGAGAGTTTTTTTTTTTTTTTTTAAGAAAGTGGGAGAGAGAAAGGTAAGCTTACGAGAGGGAGAAAGAACTCGTGGGTAGGGCCTACGAGGGCGAGTCTATATGAACTTTGACAAGAGAATAAGGATGGCAACGGGGTGAGTTTGGGCGGGTGTGCCCTTCTCCACCTCTCACAACCGTTTAAAAATTTTGCCCCTGTTTTCGTTTAAAATCGCAAAAACGGGGATTTTTTTCATCCCATCCCCGTAACCATTTAACATTTTTACTCCGTGGGTATTCGCCCCATCCCGTTTAGGACATAATTTATTTATTATTGAAATAAATTTGCTTTTTTTTTTTTTTTTTTTTTTTTTTTTTTTGCCCTCATCTTCAATTATTCACCATTGTAAATTTTCTTTTAATCAAATTCATTTTTTACTTTAATATTGTTATATAGGGTACTTAATATATAGTGAAAAATATATATACGAATGAAATAAGTGTACTTAAATAATTTGCCTATCTAAACGGGGCGGGGTGGTGCGGGGCGACCTCCCCCCGCCTCCGGACCAAATCCGCACGGGTTTTTATTATATCAAACCATCCCCGTCCAAATAAGCAAAACGATCCCCTAAAACCGCCAAAAATGGTGCGGGGTGGGGCGGGTAACCGCGGGGGCGACTTTGAGATAGAGACGTAGATCATGAAATTTCTTTAAAAACAGGGAATTATGATAAGGAAATTGAGCTGTTCCATTTAGGGGGAGGAGCTAGGATTTGAATTCGGAAGGTATGGTGGGAATTTTTTTTTTTTTTTTTTAAAATAAGAATAAGCAAAAAAAAAAAAAAAAAGGAATGAAAAATGAATTTTGGATGAAACAAGTTAAGAGTATGATTAAATAAGAAAAAATTAATCTTTTTAAAAAAGTAATTAAAGAGTAAAAGAGAAAATATATAAAAATTTTAAAAGAATTTTAGAAACTAATAATTTTAGGGGCATAATATACAAATTTCTATATAGATATGTAAAAAATATAATAAAAAACTATATATATATATATATATATATATAGGACCGGGCCAGGTTAGGGGGGTCATGTGTGCCTCTGGGCACATGCTGGTTCCGTCCCCGGTTCCATTAAAAATTTATAAATACGATGAATTACGAAATCATTTTTATATCAATATCTAGACATCCCTATCTTATCAGAAGAAAACAAAACACCTAAACAATTCTAGAAATAAAAATCTTGATAATTTTTTTGCATGTGAATCACAAAACCATTTGCAGAGCCCATTAGTTTCACAAGTTTTAGGTGTGACCAATAAAAATCTTGATCATATTTTGATGTGGTAATCACAAAACCATTTTAGCCTAGCCCTTTAGTTTTTAAGTACAACAACTTGACGTGTGACCAACCCTCACAAACGATCCCATTTGCTTGTCGCGTCAAGTGGAAGACAAACTGATGCAGGAGGTTCAATGAACTTGATATCCAACATCTTCAAAGCTTTCGTTTCAATCCTCAATACTTATCCTCACTCTCAATCAGATGTCACAAAACTTAAATACCTAAGGCCATCCGCAACGGGCTCTTGAGAGCCCATTTTAGGCAGCCAATCCACTAAAGACCCTACAATGGCCTAGTTAAACTTGACGCGAGCCGACCTGTGATCGCTGATTTTTTTATTTTTTATTTTTTGCGTCAAAACGATGCCGTTTCTTGTGAGAGTATACTAATTTTAATTTATTATTATTATTATTTTTTAAAAACGCGAAGAGGCTAATGAAATATATGTTTCTGGAGAACAAAAATTGCTAACGTGACTCTTGAAATTACTAACGTAACTCTTGAAAAAATTGGTGTAACGTTTTTAGAAGTTAAAATTGGAAGACATTGGTGCAAATGGCCTAATTAGAAAGATGGTTGTGGCTCGAATATGAGTAATAAGATCGGAAGCGATACTGTGTGTGACAGGGACTCACATCCCCTCATATCTTTCTCATTCGGCATCTCCGTGTTGCTAGCTCAATAGCGTGTTTTGTACTGTATAATAAATTGGATGCTGTGTGGAAGGTTCCACGTGTAATCTTCCGAATGGATGGATGGTGACAGACCGGCTATCATTGCAGATCTTGTGTGTGAACATAGTAAAACATCTTTAATTCTGACTTTCGGCGCCAAAAGGAGATGAGAACAATGTGGGTCCCACCGAATGCCTCTGCTTCATTGGTCCTTTGAAAAAAGATGTGCCGCCCATCGAAACTTTACCATCCATTTTCTTTCCTATAAATCTGTGTGATTTTTCGTGGGGCTGTGGGATCTTGCCGGTATCCGTTATTTCTAGTTAATTTTGTTGGGAATATATATATATATATATATATATATATATATATATATATAATATGGACAAAAAAAGGTGTTTGGTATTGTGAGTGGAAAAATAAAATAAAGAATAAAAAATAAAAAATAAATGATTATATTAGTGAAAAGTGGGAAAGATGAAGATAGGGTTGGTTGATTAATGAGGAAAAATTAAAGAAAAATTAATATATTAATGATAATTTGCATTTGAAAAAGGTAGTGGGAAGAAGAAAGAGAGAATAATCATTTTATTTTGCGAGTTACGTGAAAAATAAAATATTAAAAATTATAATTAACTTGTTATAAAATATGAGTCAAAACAGGTCAAGAATATTGTTTTTCAAAAAAAATTAGTGAGCTCTTCTTTGTGTTTTATTTTACTCCTACAACATATAAATACCAGAGTAGTATCAATTCGAAATAAAATTAAAGAAAATAGGTTAAAATAGATTGAAATGCGCTAATTAAGAAGAATGGTAAAAATAATAATAGAAGAAGGGAAAGATCAAAGTTAATGAATAGATTAATAAATAAATAATAAAAAAGACAATATAGCAAGTAGTTTAAGTGAGGTTACAGTCTTAAATAGAATATAATGAAAATATAGAATTCTTCTATTAAAAATATTTCACTTATAGAGTTCAATTTCCTTAAAGCCACTTTAGAAATATTTTTTCCCCATAATTACCTAATGCAAAAATTGTATTCCGTTATGTAAAAATAAAAATAAAAAAATGATACAAACATAAATGGAAAACTAAAAAGATAAGGAAAGTTGTTATGAAAACTAAAAAATAAGGAAAAAAAAAAAGGCGTATTTTATGAAAACAAATAAGAATAGTAATGAAGAATTAACATTGTAAAATAACCTTGATTATTAAAGTCGTTAATCAAATAGTAATACTCACTCCGAATGTATCAAATACAATTAAGTGTTTGTTGTATAATTAATCAATTAAAAGAGTAAGATTAACAATTCACTGTAATTATTTGATACTATAACACGTGATTGGTTACTATTTGTAAATATATTTTTACGCAAAAAAATATACCAATGTTGTAAGAAGTCATGCCACCGGATTGAGGAAGCTATAGGTTTACCGTGGTAAATTATGGAATGAAAGTTAACATAATGACGTGGATACTAATCTTTTGATTTGAAAGTTATACTGGGAGACCTCAATACAACCTAACTGTGTGTGTATATATATAAACATGTTCTAGAGAAACACAACCCACCAATGAAAACTACATAGTAATACATTCGATTCTTAAAACACATTCTCTCTCTGGTTTCTTCCTCATTCCATTATTTGTGCCCATCTACTAATTCATATTCTCGGAGTAGATCTTGTCCTGTTCAATTTGAGGGAACAATATCAAACAAATATCGAGGGTGTCGTGGATATAATATATATATATATATATATATATATATATATATCTGTTTGGCTGTGAAGAATTGAAAGGAAAAAAGAAGTATGACAATAGAAAGGAGGATATCAAGAAATGGGAGCTATGCAATTGGGTCGATTAAGGACCCAACATGTATTTCTTGCACCACATTCAACATTCTCGCCCCAATCTACAAGAGACTCAATAAGGAGGTACAAATTTTTTTCTTTTTTCTTTTTAATTAAAATTTTCATTCATATGCAACTATCATCTGTATTCTAAATCTCCCACACACACACACACACACATATGTATATGTATGTATGTATGGTTGTGCATTGTTTTCTTCAATGGGTTGAATTTTTATATGTATATGTGCTATTGGAAGAGCAGGATCAGAGTTGCAGAGAAAGTGATTATAAAGCATATTGGCTGAACAGAAACCACATGATATTGGATTGGTTGTTGCATGAAAGATCTTCCATTATATGCCTTCAGGTTTGCCATTTTATTTATTTATTTTTGTTTTATTTCCCAATTTGAGTCTATTCATGAATGATTTGGTTGCAAATTAGCACTAGAAGGGCTGCTATTTTGGAACTTTGAGCTTACTAATATGCAAAAACAAAAAGAAAAAAAAAACAGGAGAGGGTAAATCACTAATATGCAACTTTTTCTGTAATTAGATAATATGTATAATAAAGTTTCATAAATATAAGTAATATGTTATATTTCACATGTTAATGATCTTTGTAAACACACCATGAATGCAAAAAATAAATAAAAAAATTGTTTTGGGTTAATAACTAATACGCAAAATTGTTTAAGTGGTGCAGGAGTTTTGGATTGGGAATGAAGAGCTTGTGAATATGTACGAGAAGAGACTCGGTGATGCTGGTTATATCAGCTTCAAGCTTGGCAGGACCAACAACCGTGGCGATGGTATGATCTCTTATTTCTTCAAATTGGATTTTATAGAATTAAATTCTCTATGGAGTACCATTACAATATATTATTGAGAACTTATTAAATTGATTGCAAATGTATGCTATTTTTGAATTTTTATGTTCAATACTTGCTGTGGAATGACAGTAATTGACAATCCTAGGCCTTTTCTTGAATTCCAAAATTTTCTAAGCTAATATGTTTGATTTCTGATTAAGATGTTTTTTAGTTTGTCCTGGAGAATCTAGTTTCTGTTCTTTTAGATGGAAATGTCCTGTTGGAAAATTTCTTCTCGAAAATTTCTTGATGGTCTGAATTGTTTGTGAACGGGAAATTAATTTTGTTTGAGAATTTGTTAGTACTGCAAGCTCTCTAGATGCTACCGAAACTCATGACTCAACGAGTCCTTGTATTTGAACTTTAGTTCTATCCATAGTAGTGGGATTTGCAATCATATGTCGGCTATATGTTCAAAATTGCCAGTGATTCAGTTATATTTACATATCATGATTGGCCATAAATATGAACTTACATGTGTAAAATGTTGGATTTTGTAATTTTTATTTGCCGGAGATTTGCAGTATTTAAAAATAAATAAGTAAAAGAATAAGAATTATCAAAAGAGTTAATTTTTTTTACTTCCTACCTAAGGGTTTCCTGTTAAAATTCAACAGGACTGCTAACTGCTGTGCATAAGGACTACTTCAGGGTTCTCAACTATAGGGAGCTGCTATTCAATGATTTTGGCGATCGTGTTGCTCAGCTATTGCATGTCGAATTAGTTTCACCCGTTTTACAATGTCGAGGCAACAATGTTCGACAAGAAATTCTCATTGTGAATACCCACTTAATATTTCCACATGATTCAAGTTTCGGTTTGGTACGATTGCAACAGGTAGGTTAATTTTTTCATTGAGGTCTTGTTCTCTATAAATCTTACTCTCTAATATTTTCATTCCTTGTTGGATATATGTTCTTAAATTCAAAGCATATTTAGAACTTGTTGTATTTTCTGCGGTTTGTAAATTCTGACCTGCATTTCATGCATTTGTGTTATGATAGGTCTACAAAATCTTGCAACATGTGGAATCTTATCAGAAAGAATACCTGCTTAATCCGTTGCCCGTCATACTCTGCGGGTAAATTTATAATCAATTGCTTCCACTTTCAGGATTCTCATGTCATTGTCAAAATACTCACTTATTTTCATTATCATGCACTTCTTTTTATCTTCTTAGTGACTGGAATGGAAGCAAACGAGGTCATATTTACAAGTTCCTCAGATCTCAAGGATTTGTATCGTCATATGATACTGCTCATCGATACACTGATACAGAAGCGCAAAAGGTCACTATAACATGCCACATTGATCATCTCAATTAATCTTACATTGAAACATAAAAGAAAACTTGTACTTGTTTCTCATGTCTCTTGTATTTTGATGCAGTGGGTTAGCCACCGTAATCATCGTGGGAACGTATGTGGCGTAGATTTTATATGGCTTCTTAATCCTAATAGATATCGGAAACTACTAAAAACAAGTTGGAGCGAAGCAGTGTTCTGCATGTTCAAGGTATAGTGCTTTTTCTACTTTACAGTGTTGTTATGTAGTAGTTCATAAGCCATCACATGCAATTCCTAATACAAAGTTGAGGAATTGTATATTAAGGTTGTCCCTTTTCTGTGTGAAATGATGAGGTGAAGAGAAATAATTCTTAAATCTTTATAAAAAACGGTTTCCGATATACCTCAGCAATGCTGGCAGGGAAAGTTGCCAATCCTTTTGAGATGTGGTCTCGTGGTTTTGTTTCTACATACATGTAGATCCATAATTTTTCATCAAATGATTCTGCTTATTATAGATGTAGATCTATAATTTTTCATCAAATGATTGCATTATAGTAATGGTTTTGAGAATCAGCCGAGTATCTGCATATTGGCCAAGTCCTAAGGGACTCGGCTGACTTTGTTTCCGATACTCACTGATATATTGGGTGGGTATTGGAATCATATCAGACTCGTCTGAATATGCTGGGACTCAGATCTGATGGTGTGCAAGATCAAGAAAATTTCTACATAATGCCTCTTTCACCCTGCGTCTGTGACTTAGAAACATGATTATAGTTCTCGCATAAGTCATATTAAAGATGGCTTTGGATTTAATACTCTCACGAATCATTCATATTCTCTTGATAGTCCATTTTAAATAAAAGAAAGCAAGTATTCCGTACTCATGGGTGTCCAAAAGGGTTTTATAGTTCTTCCTCATAGAATTCAAATCTTACTCAGCTTGCTATATGTTGGAATTTTTTTCCAAGACATCGTTCACAATAAATTCCGATGATTTTGTTTCAATTCTTGAGCTTGTGACCTTGGTGTTTTAAGATTTTTCGTAGTCATCACCAGTATCATCTTTTGTTGGAATGAGCATGATAAAGGGTGAATCAAGTTATCATGGATGTAGTTAAGCACAGATGAAAGAACTGTCCCATTTTTTGACATTTCTGTAGATGTTTTCTTGTTTTGGCATTGATTCTTGGAGCTTTCAAACTTTCCTTTGTCTAAAATTAAAATATATATATTATCTTGAAGTTGTGGGGGATCACTGTTTGGTGCGATGGTAAAAGCTCATACTGAAAATCGTAAATATTTGAGTATGAAACAAGTCATTTTGTGTGAAATAATGTCAAAAGTTAGGTTTATTTCTAGTTAGTCCCTTTCAGAAATACTTGTAGGCAATATTTGCACCGAGTAATTTTAAGCTTCTTGTCTCTAATAGTTGAATTTCATTATTTTCAGTATCTACTTCGGCGAGCCTCACTGACAGAGAATGATGCATTTGCATTTTTGAAAGCTGATGGTGATCACATTACGTACTCTGGATTCTGTGAAGCTTTACGACAGGTGTGGTTAATTTATAATTGAACCTTTTTCTCAGTAATCTTCTTTGGCTTGACAAGATTAAGACCATTTTTCCTGTAAGATTGTAAACATACTAACGTTCTTTAATCTTACAGCTTAATTTAATCGGTCATTGCCACGGACTTGGTGTGGAAGAGACAAAGGACTTGTGGGTGCAAGCAGACATAGACGGAAATGGTGTTCTTGATTATAAAGAATTTCAGGTAAATAAAGTTCGTGGGACTTTTGTTTACTTCGGTACCCTTTTCATAATCCAAATTTATTTTAAATTCATACTACTTAAAATATGGAAAATAAGTTATCTGCTTAAGTTGGTATCTTCTGAAGCTCTGAAGCAAAAATGTGTTCGTAGACTTGAACACTAGTATTGGGTAATCCACGGTGTTATAACTTTAGGGGAAGCAATTGCTACAAACAATTTCATATCTCCCTTTTTTATTTTTTCTGTTTTTCTGAGTCATTGAGCTTAATTGCTTCATGTGGTGCTCGAAACCATATAAGCAGATGTCAGTACAAAAATTTATTCCCCGTATCTAGATGTGATCCTTACATTATTGAATTTGATACTGCAGCAGCGAATTTGGAATCCTACATGGTCAGAGCAGAGAGACGAAATGAGCAATGAGGTTCGCGAAGATATTGAGCAAACCATTGGTTTTAGTGTGAAGAATGCAGGTTTCTTCCCAACTGAAGTAGAGAAAGGGATGTGGCCTGAAGACTATTCTCTCTCTGATCATGCCCGACTTACTGTGGTCTTCTCACCAGTGAGAATGTCATGCTCTCGTGTCACATGAGTCATATCATGACCAACCTCGTGTACGGTGTACCAACAAACACTATTGTAGCATGTGCAAAGAAAAGTCGAGGATTATGCAGACAAATGGTTGAATGCACAAACAGCCATCGGAGTTCTTCAACAGGATGCCTTGAGCTTGATCTCGAAGGAGCTATGATCAACTGTCCATGCAGCATTGTGGTGTAGGCTTGGAAATGTTGAATCATTCGTGTTCTTTGCAGGATGTTAAATCTATCGTACTCTTTGCAAGGGTGACGCAATGCAACAAGAATAAGCTAAAGTGGAGCTCAGAGCTTACCGATTACGCTCCTTCTCAGTTGACAGTATTTTGTGATTGCAGTTCATGTAATGGGAATGGCTGTCATCCCACTTCACTAGGCATCTGTCTTGTTTCAGCCTTCTGCTGTGAAATGATTCTTGGAGAGAGCAAAATGAATTGAAGAGAGAGAAGAAAGGAGGTGTATACATTATGGAAATATCAACTATTTAGCCTGGTCTCAACACCTTTGTTTTAACATATCAATGTATGGAACATCAGTGTATGTTATTACCCTATTCAAATTGAACCCTCAAATCTAAAATCCAAATTCTTTCACTTGGGATATGATTTTTGGGTATTCCTGTCATTTACACAGAGTTTGGAGTTCTAAGACAGCCCAAGATCAGAAACTCGGCCTTGGCCTGCTCAAGCACATTGGGCTTTGGCCTGGCCCGCCACTGGACCTGGCCTTGGGTATAAAGCCTAGCTACCCTGGCCTGTCAAATTGATTGAGGGCCTGTTTAAGCCCAGGGTCATCATCCAGATTATGACCCAATTTGAAGCCTGAATAAACCCAAGCTCGACTAACTCAAGCTTGGGCCGGATTCTCCAATTCGGTCAGTTGTGAACCTACACGGTACACAGTAACTTGCCTCAGAGCAATGCGACAATTGTCAACATTGCGACAACACTAAACGAGGGAAATATCATCAATTATAAATTTTTCCCTTGTCTTTATTTAATTTTTTTTTTTTAAAAAAACAGAGGAAGAAGAAGAAAAAGAAACTGAAAAGAATTAAAAAGGAAAAGAAAAAAGAAGCAAATGTTAAATTAAGAGGTGAATCATACCCCTTATTATTGATAATTATTTGATCTCTTTTGAGTAAAATCATCGTCACCGCCTGTTTTAATCCCGGAGACATGAACTCTGTCTTCATTATTTTTTCTTATCCCTAGTATCACTTATTATGATTAACTTTTTAAAGTCGGTTCTAATAACATCATTCCAAACTATTTCTTGTTGCCTTTTCCATCTCTTACACTCTATGAGAATTAAATTTTTTGTTCTTATCAATGCATCTACAGGTATTCGGTGTTTATGTCCAAACCATATCTCTAAGTCACATCTCTCTTATTTTCTTGTTCAATGGGTGTCACATCTAATTAGTAACCCCATCCCTTCTTTCCAATCATCCATCTTAGTATTCTCATTTCTATTACATAAAGTGGTGTTATTATTTGTTTGTTAAAGCCAAACATTCGTATTCCATATAACATAATTGGTCTAATATGGGTCGTATAAAGCTTTTCTTTTAACCTATGTATTATTCTTTTATAAGCTTGTCTCCATTTTTTCCACCCTAATTCAATTTTACTTATTAAATCATTATCCATCTCTCCATCATTTTGTATTATTGATTTAAAATAGCGAAAATGATTATTATATTATCAAGAATCCAATCTTTATTAAATTTACATTCCTTATATTTTATTGGGTTAATTAGAACGATTTCCCGTGAGGTTTGGGGTATTGACAGGTATATATAAGTTAGCCCCTTTTTGAACACTCACACCCCTTGTCAGAAATTTAATCCGAACAAACTCTTAATTTTTTGTGAAAGGATGATATTGCCCTTGAGTAAAATATCAATTATTAATCCAAAATATCAAAAAATTATATGACACAATTACCCCTGTTAAATCATAGGTTTCTCTCTCTACCCTCTACTCCGAAAAAACCCAAAAAGATTTGCTCTCTGTCTCAACCCTCACCTTCATGAGAAACCGGCCATCACCACCACCACCACCACCACCACCTACCATTGCTACCGTAATATAATTACCATCCAATTTATCCTCTTCTCTGATCCTCCTCACCTCCTCTTCTGTGTAGCCCGAGCCCACCTATCACCCGTCGGAATCCACACGTTGGCGGCGAGGTAACGGAAGATGTTAGGGTAAATTGGCAGTTCTAGGCACACGATTAGAGGAATCAAACAAAGCACTGTCCGTCCTCGTTTGAGTCCTCGTTCGAATCCTGATGAATTGATCAGACTGGTTAGTGTTGCATTTGGGGAACTAATACCCTAATTCGGCTAAGGCTTCTGCAAAATTTAGCTATGGATTCGTAATCGATGATGGTGGTGGGTGTGGTGGTACTGTAAAGGTAAAGTTGGAGTCTTCGAAGTGGTGGTGGGGGTGGGTGTGGCGGGGTTGTGGAGTGGTGGCAGGGCTATGATGTGGTGGCGGCGGGGCTGTGATATGGTGGTGGTGGTGGGTGTGGGTGTGGGTGTGGGTGTAAAGATGAGAGGGTAGAGAGAGAGGCGTTGGTGGAGATGGTGGTATGGTGATGGTGGTTATGGTGGTGTGTCACCAGTAGGGGTGGGTGTGGTAGGGTTGTGGAGTCGTGGCGGGGCTGTGATGTGGTGGTGGTGGGGTTGTAAAGTGGTGGTGGAGGCGAGCGTGGCAGGGATGTGGAGTGGTGGCGGTTATGGCAGGGCTATGGAGTGGTGGCGAAGGTGTGATATGGTGGTGGCGGGGCTGTAAAGTGGTGGGTGTGGGTGTGGCGGGGCTGTGAAGATGAGAGGGTAGAGAGAGAGGCGTTGGTGGAGGTGGCGGTATGGTGATGGTGGCTACGGTGGTGTGTCGCCAGTGAAGGTGGCAACCACCCTCTTCTCCCATTCTCTCTCTCTCTCTATATATATATGTGTATATATATATATATCAGAGGAGATGATATGTATATATACACACACACATATGTATTCGGTGTATATACTATTGCAGTGATTGAAGGTAAGTTTGGTTAATTAAAATTACTTCGAAGGTTAAAATTGTAATTTCAAATTTTTAATAGTTTAATTGACAAGTCAAATGGCAAATTGGTCTTTTTATTTATGTGTCAGGGATAAGATGGTGTCAGGGGCTATTTTGTTAACTTTATTAAATTTCAGGGTGTGTGAGTGTTTAAAAAATAACTAATTTATATATGAGTGTCAATACTGCAAACTTCAGAGGGTATCATTGTAATTAATCCTATATTATTTTAGTTCAACTAGTTCCCAATCCTTTTGATTCTAAAGCTTGTCTCTACATTTCTAACTCTATTGCCATTTTTTCTTTAAAAGTATCTAATAGTACAATATCATTTGACAAATATCATGTAACATTAAATGTCTTTTGTTATTTCATCTAAATTATTGCAAATAATAATGAGTTAACACTAATCCTTGGCGCAATCCTATGTTTCTTTGGATTGAACCTTTCTGATTCTAATCTTCAAAAAAATTATTTTCAAAATACATCTCTTGGGACCCCTATCTACCCCTTTTCTAAATTTATAAAATTATATATAGGTCTTTTTGCTTACTCTTCAATTAATAATTGTCTAAGAAAGTGCATAGCTTCCATTGTTATCGGTCCGGCATGAATCAAAATTGGTTTTTGGATATCAAGGATTCCTTCCTAAATCTTTGTTCCATTATTCTATCATATAATTTCATTTTATGACTCATTAATTTAATTTTATTATAGTTCTGTAATCTTTTATTTTTCTTTTTATTTTTGTAAATTGGTAATATTGTACTTTTCTTCCCTTCATTTGGCAAAGTGCTTTCTTTTTATAACGTTATTAAACAAAATCACCAAATATGAGCTTGGAGAGAAAGGAAGGACAGAGAGAGGAGCTTTGGGTACTAGTCAGAGGTCCCACTGCTTTTTCTTCTCCAACCTTTATGCTTTTTTATTTTTATTTTTATGAGTTTTTCAACACCCACGTCTCTGTATTTGAGTCACCTTTTTCCACATCTTCAAATTTTTTGCGTTCACACTATAGGATATGAATCTAAATATTTAAGATTCGTATAATGATTTAAAGAAGCATAATAACAAGGATAGAAAAACAATTAAACAACAAACACGGAAGTGAAAATTACAAATTGAACAAAATCGGTTTTGTTGGTTTTAGTGGCATACGAAGTATCAAATTTAATGTTCAACCTCCTTTGAGTGAAATATTTTTTTGGAGTCACGCTCTTAGTGAAACCTCAGAAGATGAAATAAATGAAAAAAATAATAAACGTTGGTATAAAAAGAAAAAGAAAAAAGCAAAATACTGCAATTGTTGCTTATGCAAATACTTGATGGTTTGAGTTTGGTATCTTGGGTGGAATAATCTATCTCCAATTTTTTTTCTCTCTCCATCATCTATAAACTTTAAGAAATGTGTCATGTCAATATGTAATGTCTTTAAATGGAATAAAATGGTGATGTATTACCGTATTGCAAATGAGAGGAATCAGGTTCATCACATTCAGTCTCACTTGTAGTTGGACTATAATGGTGTGACAACTAAATTACAGTAGGTGCAAAGAAAATAAATAATATACTCCTTCTTGAAGCTAAGGTACAAGTAATGTAAAGAAAGGTCAGAGCTGGAGGGAGAAAGTAAAGTGTATGTAAATGACATGGAAAATAAAGTAAAGTGTATGTAAATGACATGGAAAATAAAGTAAAGTGCAGCTAAGAGTTTAATGAAAGATAAGTTGTAGATGGCATGGCTGATGAGTCTTGATAAATGTGATCTTTCCATGGAAAAGTTGATGTTGCTTGCTCGTATGAATTTTTCTTGTTACACGAAGAATTTGACAAGTGGCACTTCATTCTACTACAATGAACATAGTTCTCAATCAATCGATGAGAAAAACTAAAAATGATATTTCACTGCATTCTCATGTGAACGTGGTTGCCGACTTCTCAATCAATCGATGAGAAAAACTAAAAATGATATTTCACTGTATTATCATGTGAACATGGTTGACAAGGAGAAATTAAAAATGATATTTCAATATATTCTTTAGTAAACATGATTGCCAATCAATTAGTGGAACAAATTAAATATGACATATTTTTAAATTTTGTCAATTTCACGCTCTAATGACAGTTGCAATGGTGGACGGTAGTGACAATGGCAGTTGCGATGGTGGATGGCGGTGACGATGGCGGTGGTGGTGGTGAAAGGCGGTGGCGGTAGTGGAAGGCGGTGGCGGTTATAGTGGTGAAAGGCGGTGACGGTGGTGGTGAAAGAAGGTAGCGGTAGTGGTGGCGGTGGTAGAAGGCGGTGACGGGTGTGGTAGAGGCGTTTATGGAAGACGATGGAGGTGGTGGCAGTGAAAGGCAGTGGCGGAGGTGGTGGCAGTGAAAGGCGGTGGCGGTGGCAGTGGCAGTGGTGGCAATGGAAGACGGTGACGGTGACGGTGGTGGTGGTAGTGGTGGAAGGAAGTGATGGTGGTGGTGGTGGAAGACAATGGCGGTGGAAGGCAGTAGTGAAGGTGAAAGGCGGTGGTGGTAGTAGTGATGGAATGTGGTAGCGGTGGTGAAAGGCGATGGTAGTGGCAGTGATAGAAGATAGTGGTGGTGAAAGTGGTGGTGGAAAATGGTGACTATGGTGAAAGGTGATGGCAGTGGGAGGTGGTAAAAGTCGATAGTTGTGGTGGTAGTGAAAGGCGAAGTGGTTGTGGTGGAAGGTAGTGGTGGTTTTTGGACTTGGAACATAAGGGTTTTTAGCAAATTGATTTTTTTAAATTAGGAATGAATTGATCATTCCATAGGTTTAGCTGTGGAATGAATTTTCATTTCAGTGGAATGACGATTCACACTTTAAATTACATACCAAATAAAGGAATGGTTGGAATAGATATTTCATTTCATTTCATTCCTGCAGACCAAACATATTAGGGTTTTTATTCCCAAAGCTCTCTCTTCTCTCTCTCATACATATATATATATATGTATGAAAAACGATATTCACACACATTCCATACTTTTTTACATTTGCATTCCACTTTTCTTTTTTCTTTAAAGTGAATGACAAAAAAATTTCTAAACTAATTAATGCATCATCCCTTATTTTATTATACCATAAGTACTCTTATATTATAAACTTTTTTTTAAACCTTTTTTATATACTTGGAAATGATAATTTCACTGACAATAAACCAAATGTTACCGGGCATATTCTTTCATGCCTCATCTTCTTTGCCCTTTCTTTTTATATAAGTTATTTCTTGTATCTTTTAAGTGAAAATTATTCTATCTATAAAATACTTTTATTGTAAAACTCTATTGTAATGAATGGCTTTTTTTTCTTCTTTTGCCGTCTTCAATTAATACTACATATGTTGGCTTGTGACAAAAAATTTTTAAAAAAAAAAAAAAAATTATACCCCAAGAAAAAAAGAAAGAAAGAAAGAAAATATTTGGAATTTGGAAGGTGAGTTCTATGGTTTTAGGTTTTGACAAAGTTAAATTTAGAATTATGTTTCAATTGAATTTAAGAGAAGTAGAGATAAGAAATAAGATACAAAAAATTGATTAGAGCTCAATTATGAATTGTTTTTTTAATATTTTTATTAGAGCTACAAAAGATAACATCACGTCAAAAAGCAAATATAGTTGTATATAATACCTATCTTTCTTTCTTTCTCTCTTTATTATTATTTTTATTTTCACAAAATCATTGTTTTTGAAATTTTATTGTCAAAACAGTCAAGGTTTTTCTCATCAACAATGTAAACTTTAAGATTTAAAGACATGCCAAATTAATTCTTAAAAAATCACGCGAAGGAAAATAAAAAAAATTACAGACATTGTCAAAACCGTCAAGGTTTTCCTCATCAACAATGTAAACTCCAAGATTTAAAAACATGCCAAATTAATTCTTAAAAAATCACACCAAGGAAAAGAATTACATTTATTGTCAAAACAATCTAAGGTTTTTCTCATCAACAATGTAAACTTCAAGATTTATGCCAAATTAATTCTTAAAAATTCATGGAAAAAAAAAAAATTACATCATCATTAGCATCGATGGAATTGAATGACTTGAGAAGTTTTGATAATTCTTCCATATTTTTATGCGCTAATCAGATCAATTATTTTATTTAACTCCACCGTCTCTCTATATGTAAGATCATCCATTGTTACATACAAAGAGCAATATTAAACCTTAAGAAGAGATAAGATAATTAATACAAAGTAGAGAAACAATTCGTTAATTAGGGAGAGAGACACCAAAATATATTTTCATAACTGAAAGGATAATTGTGGTATTTGATAATTAATAATTAGTTATGTATAAAATTAGGGATAAAAGTGTCATTTCGAGTTTAGTGTAAATGTAGAAAATTAAAGTGGGGATTTCGCCTTCCTATATATATTTAAGCTTTGTATTGCTCTTTTTTCTCCAAAAGCTTTGTATTAATAATCTATTTTCTCTTTCTAAATCCCAGTTTTAGGTGATCAAAGTTATGAAATGCGGGAAGGGTATGGATAATCAACGGTGACGAGAGAAAAGTGTGTGATTTTTGTGAGGTTGATATTTGTAAATTCAAACCCTTGGGAATTATGTGTAATATCAAAATATCACAAATAGAAGACATAAGAAATTTAAAAATAACAATATATTTATCTATAATTAATTATATGAAGCAGTTGTATGGAGTATATTAAGTCTGTCAATTACTATATATATGCAGTGTTGGCCCTTGGTTACAAATCAACTGTGCTTGTCCATTCTAACCATTATCTAGACACAATTTTTTTTTTTTTTTTTCTTAGGGTAATAATACATGTACAATTTAAATTAAGAGTGCAATTCGAAAACAAAAAATACTTACTTTTTGAATTGCTACTAACGCGGTTATGTCTATTGGGCTGGGTACAAATCTTCTTACCATTGCAGTGTTTGCTTTTTATTATATTAAATAATTAATATTTGCATTGTTGCCTAAGCTAAGTAACCCAAGTAGTTCGTGTGTATACGCGCAAGGTGTCCCAGTGTCATGAGCTAACAATTAACCGTGCAATGTGCGGATTGGTAAAGTGAGATCGCAAATTGAATTCGTGTATTTTGGACAAATCCGCTCACAAGTTGTGAATTCGTGCACAGAATTTGAGAACAATTCCTCCCATGTGACTTAGTTTATTTTGGGCCCAAACACGGCAGATAAATATTTGAACGAATTATCAAATTCAAAGTTACTGCAGCATAGACTATTTCTTAACATGGAAGTAATCGCATGTCTATGGAAGGAGATTTCCCACTCACTCTTTTTTTTTTTTATCCTTATTTAAAAAGTAATTGGCCCCAACTTTCTCTCCCACTTCTCTCTCTAATAGGCAGCTTCGTTTTCTTCATTCAGCCTCCCTACTCCTTTGCATGGGAGTGGGGAGATGAAGGCATCCTCCCACGACTGCAATAAACTTAACGTGTTTCAATAAGTGTGTTTCATGGGTAGTTTTTTATATTATTATTATTATTATTTTTACTAGATCTGTTCATATTCGGTTCGTTTTCGGATTACATGGGTGGATCTATTATTTTCTCCGACTAGATCTTTGGTCTAGATCGGTTTTAGTTTTTCCCGCTTTTTTTTCTCTTTGATTTGATCTTATGCGGGGTTTCTTGGGTGTTGGAGCGCCTTTTGGTTGTAACTTTGGAGCGGTTGCCGTGATGATAGTCAAGACCTTTCGCTCTCTGCGTTCTCGCATGGTGAATCCGTTTACAGAGTGTTGGGTTCTTTTTCCTTCACAAATCTGAAGTTTGTTCTTTATTTATTTGTTTTGCTTCAAGATTTGTATGACGACGACGACAACAACAAAAAAAAAAAAAAAAAATGTAATTTATTTTAAATTGTCAAAATTGAATCCGGGAGTTGTTTAAATGTAGTCAATTTACATAAACTGGCATAATAACTATCATCCACATCTAACCACTTAACTAATTGCTCATTAATGTTTGGGTCTTCCCCAAGATTCCCCTACACTTTTGTACGAATCTCACCTCATTTCGGCTCATTTGGCCCCAAGCTAGTGAGACATAACTATAATTTCCGGATAGTCTACGCGGTCGGTATATAAATTTTTTTAGAATGGTCCTACGCGGTATATTGGAACCAATTAAACAATTCATCTCTGCACTTTCCTGTCTCATCCTCACTCTCTCAGTTCGTTTCAATGAACCCTAGTAAATTTTCTCTATATCTTCCTGATTCTACTCTCTAGGGTTCTTATTCCCAAAGCTCTCTCTTCTCTCTCTCATATATATATACACACACACACACACATATAAGCTTTGTATTGCTCTTTTTTCTCCGAAAGCTTTGTATTACTCTATTTCTCGATCAACGACATGCGGGTAGGGTATGGATTTCGTCCTACGGACAAAGAACTCGTTGATTACTTCTTGAGGTTTAAGATCAACGGTGATGAGAGAAAAGTCAGTGAGATTCCTGAGGTCGATATTTGTAAATTCGAACCCTGGGATTTACCTGGTGTGTAGTATCAATATATCACAAATAGAATTATAGAAGAATATAATTTCTTCACTTTCAAACAAAGTTTTGGGTTTTTCATTGATGTTTGGGTCAATTAATAATATTTTGTATTTGTTTGTTTGGTGTGTGCAGATTTCTCCAAAATAAAGTCTAATGATAATCAATGGTTCTTTTTCTGTCCTACGGATTGGAAGTATGTGAATGGACAGAGGGTGAACAGAGCAACTGAGCATGGATACTGGAATTCAACAGGTAGGGATCGGATGATCAAGTCCGGTAAGAGCGTAATTGGTAAAAAGAAGACTTTGGTCTTCTATACCGGGCGTGCTCGAAATGCTTCTAGAACGCATTGGGTTATGCACGAGTACTATGCTAGTAAGGAGCTTTACGGCACGAAACCAGGACAGGTTTGCTCTGAACTCTTTGTCTCCAACCATTTTTTTTTTTTTTTTCTGTGTGTTGCTTTGATCTAAAATTTGGATGGTTTTTAGATTGAGTATTGGCTATCTCATGTGTTTCTCTCTTGGTTTGTGGATAGTTCGAGTACTTGGACATCTATTAGCTCCAATCATGTTTATTTGGTGCAAATAAGTTGTGAATTAAAATGCAAGAAACATTTTATGTTTATTCGTGATTTAAGTGATCGAACTTGGCTTATGAGAGAGTTGTTTTTGCTTACTTTGTGAAATGTAAATTATGGAGTGGTTTTGGACTTGGCCTGAGAGCTGATTGGTTACGTTACATTGTGTGTCCATAGCACTGAACCTACAGAACTAGTAGTTTAACTTGGACAATTTTTGGCCTATCGAAGGGGTTTTATGATTTTAACCCATAAGATAATGCAAAAAGTGTTACCCTTTTCAGCTCGGTTAATGGGACACATTCCTTTAAATTCATGTGATTAAGGGAAAGGCACCCGATAAATGTTCTCACGGCCGCATTTTTTTTTTTTTTTTTCAAACAATTTGCATTCAAATACTGGATGAGCTTGTGAATATTGGTTGATGAGCAGAGATGTTCAATATATTATAAAATTCATTTTTGGCAATCTATGTATTCTGCAGCGTTCCTTTGTCCTCTGTCGTCTTTTTAAGAAGCATGATGAGAAGCAAGATGATGTCACTGAAGGTTCAAACTACTGTGTTGAAGTTGAAGAGAATGTTGTTGTTCCTTCTCCTGTCACGGTTACTGCTCAAGATACACAATTGGAGGCAGAAACCCCTGTGATGAGAGCTCAACCTTCTAGTAACTCTGAAAACTTACTCTCTCACACTCCTTTACCTGCTGAGTTTGACAACAATATCCGTATTTCTAATGATGCCGAAGATGAAGTGGTAGACAAATCATTTATGCAGGTGAGAGAGGAAATTCTTCTTAATATTGTCAACTCTCTCTCTTTTTTTTCGTGGAGACTGAAAAACAAAAATTAGTATTTGAACTTTTATTTCTTGATTCTCACTCAGCCGGATTCGGATCTGGAGCAAATGTTGGAAATGTTTTGCGGCCCAATGCCTGGGGCACCAGATGAAAAAATCTTCTCTCCATTGAATTGGCAAATGGATATGGGGTTTGGACAATCTTACTTGCCTTTCCCAGTCACTAATAACTTAAGCAATGACCACAATGGGGTGCAATTTCAATATGGATCAAATGAACAGGAATTCCTGGATTCAATTTTTGTTGACAAAGAAGATCACTCAACCGAATTCTTCAATTATTCAGAAATGTCCGTTTCAGAATCCTTCAATGACACAAAACCTATTCGAATTACGAGGAAGGGGCCAAATGGTCATGCGGATATGTTCGTTTCAGAATCCTTCAATACTCAACCAAGAAGAATCCGTTTGCAGATGGAACTTCGACATGATTTAGTTGGCCCCAACTACTTTTTCAGCAACTCCAAAGAAAACCATGAAGCCAAACCAACATTGACACAGGTGAGATGTCCGTCGCCAAAGTGTCTGTTGAGAATTTTATAGTGCATATCAAAAGATTTTTAACTCTATTTAATTGCCCCGTGCAGGCTGAAAATATTAAGGACGCTTCCGCTGATGCAGCAGCTACCATCCTTGGATCCTTGGATGACGAAAAATTTACTCAAAAGCTCAATACCATCCTTGGATCCTTGGATCCTTGGATGACGAGTAGGAGGACAGAAGGTAATACTGTGATGACCCGTGCCGTGAAGGTTCTCTCTGCATCCTCCGAGGCTTCTCCAGCATTCCGCTCAATATCATCTGTTTGTATGCTTGGGGTACTCTTGGCTGTAGGTTTTTCCATAATTTTCATTCGCACGTTAGAAATCATTGCAGCTTGAAGTTTGTTTAGAGAAAGGAACTTTTACTTAAATTACTCCATGACATAATATTGCTACTAGACTTGTTGATATATTTGTTTTCCATGTTTTATGTAATTTTTTTTTATTATAAAATACTTGTAGAGCAAAATATTTTTTATTTTCTAGCTACATGTCTTTTTCATTTTCACTTATAAATAGAAGTGATCATTGTATACAAAAATAAAGAGAGTATAATAAAGATTGTATACGACACTTGTGTGCTGTGACCGTAAGCTGTAATGTTTGAATTATATATATCCTTATGCTCTTCATTTTCTATTTTTCTCTTTAATTTTGACATGTGTATAATTGGCCTAGTTAGTTTGGTGAGTGATTGGGGTAGAATGGATAGGTTTATTCGGTTTGTTTGTATTGATTTCCATACTTGCATAGAATTGAAGGAGTCTATCTTTATATACAGCAGCTCCTTGTGGGTGTATTTGTGTGCTTCCTCAGCCACCTTATTAAATTCTGCACGTGCAAGAGAAAACCTAATCTGAAGCCATAGGGTAAATTACATTTTTGTTTTTAACTCCCTCAAGTTACAAAGATTTAATGACACTCCGATCACTTTTCCATGTTTTATGTAATTTTTTTTATTATAAAATACTTGTAGAGCAAAATATTTTTTATTTTCTAGCTACATGTCTTTTTCATTTTCACTTATAAATAGAAGTGATCATTGTATAAAAAAATAAAGAGAGTATAATAAAGATTGTATGCGAGACTTGTGTGTTGTGAATGTAAGCTGTAATGTCTGAATTATATATATCCTTATGTTCTTCATTTTCTATTTTTCTCTTTAATTTGACATATGTATAATTGGCCTAGTTAGTTTGGTGAGTGATTAGGGTAGCATGGATAGGTTTATTCGGTTTGTTTATATTCATTTCCATACTCGCATAGAATTGAAGGAGTCTATCTTTATATACAGCAGCTCTTTGTGGGTATATTTGTGTGCTTCCTCAGCCACCTTAGTAAATTCTGCACGTGCTAGAGAAAACCTAATCTGAAGCCATAGGGTAAATTACCTTTTTGTTTTTAACTCCGTCAAGTTACAAAGATTTAATGACACTCCGATCACTTTTGGCATGTAAAATGATATTATTACGTTGTTGTTGTTGTTGTTGTTGTGTTTTTTTTTTTTGGAGCATAATTACACTAAAACTAAAATAAGGACATATTTACACCCCACTTTTTTGGAACGGATTGCATTTTTTGAGCAAAAATAGGTCTCTGGATTTTTTCAACTGGTTGCACTTCAAGTCCAACCCATTGCATTTGCCTGAATGTGCAAAAGAATTAGTTGTTGGTAACCTTTTAGTTTCTTATTTTTATCCAAATTTGTAGGGCAATCCTTGCACGATTTTGAAAACTATTTTTACCTATTGTAAGGATTCTCTAATAAGTCTATATAAACTCTCTCTCTCTCTCCTGATTAATTAAGGTTTCAAAGAGAAAAATATTCTGACTATTGAGAGCTTTTTGAGAGTATTTTTTCACAAAAAAAAAAAAAAATCACCTTGATTGTTCCGTATATTTTTATACTTGAGAGCACACACTATTACACGAGAGTGATCTTAAGATAGTTTTCTTAATTTGATCGGAGTTCCAAGCATATTGAAGATTCAATCAATTTTGTTCAGAAAAGTAGGATTTCTACTTTTGTTTTCAACAAATTATGATTTGAAGAAATGGGGTGGAATGATCACACTTTGATGGGGTCATAACATTCGTGGAGTGTTGTTTAATCTACCAGCAATCCTTATACAGATCAAGAGTGAGACTTAGCAATTGATTTTTGGTAGAATGATAGGATGTGAGCCTGAGTTAGAGTCGATTGTACTTTACTTCATATATAGTGGATCGTTTCGCTTTGAACAACGCAAGTCCACTAGGTTTTTCCAGAACGATTGATCTATTTTGCTAATCGGTGTTTCCTCGCTAAAAATCCTAGTGTCATATTTCAAACTTTATTTACTTTATATGTACTTTATTATTGTTTTGTCGGTTTGATTTTAGTTTTATTTCGATAAAATTAAAATAAATAAAAATTAAATAATGGAGCAAGTAAAACTTATTCACTTCTCTAAATTATTTTTAATACCAACTTTCGTATCCATTTCACATTGTGCAACTCACATTTATCACCCACCATTTTCTTAAATATGTCATCTACTTCCTATGAAATACCTGTCCAAGGTATTTCATCTAACCGCATATAATATGGTTCATGTATTTAAATAATTGATTTATCTCAATTCTTTGATAGTTTACAAATACCTCTTACTCTCTTTGGCGCCTACTTTTCATATAAATCATTTAATGAGTTTTGCTTAACTTTGTCCATTATCTTTTTTTATTTCACATATAAATTTAGAATAATGATTTGCAGTCCAAAAAGTGGACAAGTTTCAGTGATTTATACAGTAGGAGTTGATATAATTATGATAGTTTTAATATCCCTAATATTATAATGATATTAATTTTTACTTACATAAAATTAATTAAATGTATCCATTGTCAAATTTTACGTCATTACTCTTAAATTTATTACAAGTGCTTAAATCTTCTTATTGTTTACCTTTTGTTATTCTTTAACACTTTATCGCTTTTGTTTGATCACTAGTTTCGCTACTCCCTCACTCCAACATGCTTTCATTTTTTTTTTTTTTTTTGCTTGATTCTTCTTCTCTATTACTTTGAGTAAAAGATTAGACATTAAAAAATTGATGCTAACATGCAAACATCCCCATTAATAACAGTATCTGCTGACTTTTGAAATCTTTTTTTTTTTTTCGTCAAGGACAAAAAAGTTAGGTCCATTCATTCCTCCTACATACAAATTTCACAAGGAATCAGACAATTATGGTTTTTAAATGGTTGATTAACTGAAGTATTGTAAGGTATATATAAAGGTCAAAATCTCTTTTTGACCTAGTGACAACCAGCAATACCAAGTTCCTTAAAAGGATAAGTATAAGAGTTAAAAACTAAGCCACATGAAGTAGATGCGCAAACGGGAGCCAATTAGAAAACAAAGTATGAAAATGATAAAATCAAATAACAAATAATGAGAAACGAAAGCAAAAACATGTGCGAAAAGTAAGACTGTGTTTAGTAACGAGAAACGTTTCTTATTTTCTGTTGTTAACCTCTAAAAAGGTAAAACGAAAACAAAAATCGCGTTCAATAAAATGTTTTTATTTTTCTATAACAAAAAACGTTTTTAATTTTTGTGAAGAAAAAAGGAATTATCAAAATGATGTTTCTTATGTTTTCAGCACTATAGCACAGAAACGTTTTCACTAATGTTACTACACAGATACTATTCATTTCAAATAAAATTCATATTATTTGTGGTATATACTAAGTTGCATATTAAATGTTAATAAATATATATATATTTAATATAAAATATATTAAATATTGTATATTATTTTTTATTTGATAAAAATATATTTTAATATATAATATATTAAATAATAAGGTAAATTATTTTTTGGGACAAAATAATTTTTGATATTGAATATAATGCTATTAAATTATTAAGTAGTAGATATTTTATATTATTATATATCATATCTATATTATATTATATTTTAAAATTAAATTATAATTAATTTACAATATTATAACACAATATATATTTTATTACATATAAGATATATTATTTAATATTTTTTTATTCATAAAAAATTATCATATGATAAATATATTATATATTACATAATAAATGTATACATCATGTATATACAAGTATTTATATACATAATTGGTGAGAATGTTTTTGTCTTGATATATCTAATTTTGTACTTATGATGTATTGGGTATTTTTAAAAATTATAATTTTAAATTAGATTTTCTAGATTTATGGATTTTTGATATTAATGAAAGCAAGTGTCGTGGCTGAGTAGTTGGGTTGCTCCCTGTATCCAAGAGTTCGTATTGAAGTCATCTACCCTCACCCTCACTCTCCCCTTTAATTACTAACTTCTAAAATTCTTGCCATGAAAAAAATAAAATAGAAATGAAAAAAATAAAAAATTTAAAGAATATTATACACATTTTTTTGTAACAAATATGTTGTATTACTAAACACAGTTATTGTTTTATGTTTTCAAATTTGTGGCAACAACAAGTGTTAATAAACATCATTTCTCTTTTCTATTTTCACTTAAGAAAGTAAAATCATGTTTCTGTTTTTTTAAGATTGTAAAAACAGAAAACGAAAACGTTACTAAATGCACCATAACAAATCCTCATTGTTGCTACCATAAAAGTAAGTGGAATGATTACAAAATCAAGACTATTCTATAATTTATATTCCATTCTTATTACCATAAAAGTAAGTAGGATAAATCAAGACCACTCTATGCCAACAGCCTACTTAAAACAAGTTTTTCTTTCTTGTTTTTTTCCTCTTCATCACGAGTGATATTAAAAATGGAAAAGAATTATAAGTGTATGAGAACTAGACAATAGTGATATGACCTAGTCTAATTCCCCAATCTTTTTTAAGGAACAATTGAAAAGGATGACAACATAAGAATGGTGGATCATCACCACTTGCAATTCTAAATCCACCAACACAAAAAGAAGGATATTACACAAAAGGTATAACATCTCCAATCGTAGTGTGTGTGTGTGTGTGTGTGTGTGTGTGTGTGTGTGTGTATATATATATTTTTTTTTGTGAATCTGATGTGTCATAATAGATTTACATAAAAATTTTTAATTATTTATTTTTAATTCCAGCGGTTATTTTATACCTTTGGTGTAAAAATATATTCCCTAATAACAACCAACCAGTGTTATGTCTGGATCTCATTAATTTTTACAAACTTACTTAATATATAGGGTTGATTCGTTACTGGAATGAGAAAGAAGGAGAATAAAGGAAATATACTGATGTGACTGTATAAAAAGGTTGTGTAAAATACACAACAATTTTACACATCGGTGACGTGGTAGTATATCTTAACAGACTGTTGGAGATAAATAAATAAATAAATAAATAAATTTACACATCATAGGTGGCAGTGTATATTTTACACAAAAGAATATTTTAACATACTGTTAGAGATGCTCTGAGTGAATAATTAGTTTGCCATAATTAAAATGATCTAATATATATATATATATATATATATATTATAAATATAGTACAAGTATTATAGAATTGAGAAAATGAATGAACAAACTACGAAATGTAAAATTAGAAAGAGAGAGTAAACATGTTATTCATTCTCAAAACTATATATCTAATACACAATACA